TTTCCTTTTCTGCCTGTTGGTCTCACTTGAATCTCTCTGCCCAGGGTTTACCCACACCTGCTCGACTCCGGCTCCTTCCACTGACCTTCTAGGACCTCACGGAGGGCAGCGGATCGCGCTGGCACCCCATTCTCCAGCAGAGGAAGGAGGTCTGTGGGAACACAGCTCAGAGAGGTCTGTGCCTTCACACCCCCATACCCAGAGCTCCCCCTCTTTCCCCGGGGTCATCCTCACTCACAGCGCACAGTGTGGAAGGCGCAGCGCGGATACTTCTCGAAACTCTCGCCTAACTTGAGAACCCGCTCGCGACTGTCAATGCGCGGGCGTCCCCCTGTTCCATTCATCATTATGCTCGGGCTCCGACTTGGCCTCCACTCGCGCCGCTCGCTACCATCTGCCACCTCAGCCTGAACCAGCTGCACTTGTTGCGGCCCGCCCAGCCACCACGGACTCCGCCCCCCGCCCGACGCGCGCGGCCCCACCGGGCGCTTCTCGCGTGCGATTGGTTGCCTGGCTAGTGGCGCCCCGCCCCTTGGCTCCGTGGATCCTGGTCCCGCCTCCAGGCCCATTCCCGCGTTGCGACGCACGCCGTCCCGGGAAGCCGCGCAAGGGAGGTGGGTGGTGGGAGCGGAGTGTTTTGGTGGAGGAACGCTGAGCGAGCATGAGGTAACCGTCCGAAGTTGGCGGCTGGGGAAGGAGAGGGCCCCGGGATAGCGGCAGGCCGGCACCCCAAGGTTTCTGGGCCAACTGACCCGGCACGTAGGGGCTCTTAACGGGAGAATCGGCGTGCTCCACGCCCTTTCTGTGGAGATCTGGTGTGGAAACTGAGGCCCGGGGAGGGGCGGAGTCTGGGCACAAGGCCTGGCGTCTTGCCCAAGGCCTGGTAGCGCCAGAGCTGGGTCTAGAATGCCGAGTAAAAGACCCCGCGGCCTCGGAGCCTCGGTCCTTGGACCTGACTGGAGGCGACGCCGTTACCTCAGCAATCGTTTTCTGACCTTCTGTCCCAGCGGAAGTTCCCGGTGGTGTCAGGACCGGGACAGGGGACCGGGAGGGAGAGGAAAAAATGATTCGGAGTTAGGAACTGCAGATGTTTAGGATCAGTTGCAAGTCGATTGCATCGGGTTGCTTCTTTTATTTATTTCCTTCACGGTGATCCGCGGCCGCGGTAACGGCGGTGATCCGTGGAGGCCGGGAAGACGAGGTTCCCAGAGGATCGAGCTCGTGCTCTGGCAACAGGGTAATAGCATTAATAGTTGAAAACTAATTGTCTTTTTTCTCTGTCAAAGGTTCGTGAGTTCAATGGTAAAGAGGAGAGAAGTGCTGTATTAGAGGAGAAGCGCCCATGAGAAAGTTTACAAATCGTTGCCATATCAGGTGGCGGTCTTTCTGGGTAGTTATGTGATCAGACTCTACTCCTTCACTGACCTTCTGCCTTAGCCAGATTTGTCGGTTTATCGTTCCAGGCGGGTAGATGGATGTGTCTCCCGCAACCTCTCTGCTTGTCTTAATTGTGCTCTTTTAAGGGGTACTCTGTTTCATGTGGTAGTTAAGCGCTCAGCTTCTGGAGCCAGAATTTTTGGACTTGAACCTCAGCTTCATACTGTATAGTGTGACCTGTGCAAACCAAAGTTAAGTATGCTCGTCGTTAATACTGGGGGAAAAATAATAGTACTTATACCTGAGAGTTGGTGAGAGGGTTAAATGAGTTAATACATGAAAGCGTTTAAAACAGTTCATGGCATATAGTAAAAGCTCTCCAAATGGTTATTATTGAGGCTTAACTCTGCTCTCATGCAACATTTTAGGACGATCCGTGGTGGCTGCCTTCTCTTCTAAATCTTGAATTATTCTAGGAGGTAGGAATTGCTGTTTTGTTTACTTTACAGCTAAGAAAACTTGTTCAGGGATGCCCAGTCCACCAACTCTGTGGTTTGTATTCTTATTGTCTGTGTCATCTATTTGGCACTTAACGCTTTTTATATAATTATTTTACATATATGTATATATGTGTGTGTGTATACTTTTCTTTCCCAACCAGAACGTGAGCAGGGAATCTGTCCTATATAAAATCTTTGTGACGCTTGCATCTAACATAGTGCCTTACACACATGTGGTGATAATGACAATATTTCAGTGATGTTTCATTATGTTAGCCAGAGAGCAAGAACAGTGTTTCAAGTCGATTTTACCTTAAAAAGGCTTCCAATCAGAAATCTGAGGTTTCCATTTTGTGAGAAGGAGAAAAGCAGAGGGTCAGGAAATTGAGTTTTGGAATGCTCAAAGTTTGTGCAATTATTCATTCTTCCAACATGTATTTATTAAGTACCTACCACAGGCCAGGCACTAGTCTAGCCTCTGGGAATGTAGTAGTGAACCAGAGAGATAAGAAGACAACCAAGGATGGTATGAATTCTGCCCTTGTGAAGCTTACTTTCTAATATGAATTTTCTCTAAACATATATTAAAATGAATTCTGTTGTACTAGCCCAGAAATAAACAAATAGATTAATGAACTAAATAGATTCTAAAAATATGCCCAAGTGACATTTCAGATTGCTTCTATTATATCTCTTCATGAGAAATTACCTTAGGAATTTCTGACAGCTATGTGCATTTGTTCTTTTTTCACCAATCTGTAACCTCATCTAACTTGAAAAAATTTAGATTTCTTACACCATTCACAAAAATAACTTACATGTGTATTGAAGATATAAATAAAGATATAAGTAAATGAAGGTAAGTAAAACAAAACTATAAAAACACTAGAAAAAATTAGGAGAATATATATTAGCACTTAGGATAGAGAGAACCTTTCTAAGCATGACACCAAAGGCAGAAGCCATAGAGGTAAAGATTGTTATACTTGACTATAAAAAATTTGTAAAACTATGGTAAAGCCACTATAATCAAACTTAAAAAATTATATGACAGACAAGGAGAAAGTGTTTACAGCCAATATAAAGGATAAAGAGTTCATATCCCTGTATGAATAGATTAAAGCTTCTGTGAAAGAATAAGACAAGCCGATAGAAAAATTAAGAGATATGAATAGAAAATATATGAAAGAAGAAATGGCCAGTGAACATGAAATGTGCCTAACCTACTAATAATCAAAGAAATACAAATTAAAACAAGATGATACCATTTTTCATCTAGTGGATTAGCAAAAATGTAGAAGAACATATTATGTATTAGTAAACTTATAGTAAAATGAGCACCCTCATACATTGTTGGTGGAAGTATAAATTAGAACACCCATTTTAGAGAAAAATTTGGTATCATCTAATCAAAATTTTAAAGATATATCCTGTGACCAAGCCATCCAACTTCAAGGGAAATTCACTCTACCAGTACTAGCATGAGTGCCTAAACACATGTACATTGATATTCATTGCAGCATTGCTTGTGATAGTGTACACTCTGAATGACTTCCAGTAGACAGGATGTTTAAATACATTTTGATGCACTCTTCCAAAGGAAGCATAGCAGAATGCAGCCATTGGAAAGAATGAGATAACCCTCTATGTAGTCTCTTGGAAAGTTATATGCCTACTATGTGCCAAGAGTTGTGCTGGGCTTTCTTTAAAATATTTCCAGAAAACTTGTTTTTTAATGATTTATATTTTACCTAATAAGGGATGATTTTTGGATGCATGTATTAGGCCAACTCGTCAATATAAAGGATGGGCTGTGGTGCCAGTTATGAAGAATAACAGATAAAAAGTGAGTTAGAAGTAGGTCACTTGGGAATATGTTTTGTGTTTTTTACTGTTTTACATGGGAGGGAATATAATGAACATTGTAATGAAAACCACAGACTTTGAAGTCAGACTGATCTGAATTTGAGTACTGACTCTACCACATGCAGTTGGAACCAGAACAAGTTTGTCAACTTCTTCGAGCTTTATTTTTCTTACCTGTAAAATGGAGATGATTATAGGCTCTACTTCATAGTCCTGTTAGGATTAAATAAGATAATGCATGTAGAAGCACTTAGCACAGTGCTTAGTTCATAGTAAACACTTAATGTATGTTAGCTTTTATTAATTATAGGTAAAGATTATGCTTTTTTTAAATGATGACATTTTGAGCTTTGAATGCCTTAAATTAAAACTTTTTATAAAGAAAAGTTTTAGAAACAAACTGAATCAGGATGTGGATTTTTTTTTTATTTTAATATAATTGATTTTATTCACTATGCTGTTTATAAGCAAGCTTTGGTTATCTTATAATTACATAACATTTCTGAGTTTGGTGTTGGAGATCCCCAAGACCAACCCCAGTTTCAGTGATTTGCTAGGAGGGCTCACAGTTCTCAGGATATGTAGTCATTCACAGCTATGATTTATTACAGTGAAAGAATACATAGCAAAATCAGCAAGGGAAAAGACACATGGGGCAAAAGCCAGAGGAAAAGAGATGCAGACTTCCAAGAGTCCTCTCCCAGTGGGATCACATAAGACACGCTTAATTCCTCCTGCAATGAATTGTGACAACATGTTGAAGTGTTGTCTACCAGGGAAGCACACTAGGGGTTCAGTGACCAGAGTCTTTATTGGCGGATGGTCATGTAGGCATCCTCTGCTGTTATGTACCATTCCAAATTTCGGGAAGGAAGGCAGGTGTTCATCATAAACCACATTGTTTTTACAAACAGTTTAAGCACAGTGAACCACTCTTATTAGGGAATGGTGGAAACCCTCCTGAAATCCAAGTTCCTAGACACCAGCCAAGGGCAATCTTGTAAGGAGCTGTTTGAAAGGATAGCAGTCTCAGGCCTGTGTTAGCTCTTTTCTGCACAGTTTCTCTCTTATGATAAAAGAAAATTCCTGGTCTAGGATTGTTGTGCCGACTAGAGAGAGTGCATGTGAAGCACCAAGCACAGTTCCTGACTCTTAATGAGTGAATAATAAACAACACTGTAACTGTTACTGTAAGGTATAAGGGTCTCTAGCTCTTTTAGAGGTACGCTAGTTAGAAAAACAAGAGTTTTCTGTAAGGAAGAAATGAAAAAAAATCTACTCTTCACTTCTCAAAGAAAGCAGGCAAAGCTGTTTTCCTTTATATTGAAACTATATTTCAAACATTACTTAGGGAGTGAATATTTTAGGGCTGTTTGACCTTTATTTTTCTGAATCTATTAAAATATAGGTGATATGAAAAATGAAGCCAACAGGTACAGACCCAAGGATCTTATCTCTAGCTGCTGAAGTTGCAAAAAGTCCTGAGCAGAATGTCCCTGTTATACTGTTGAAGTTAAAAGGTAAGAAAATCTTTGTGATTGGCTAACACTGTTTAAGCAACAAAACAATTCCATCATGGGTACAACTTTAGCATTTGTTTCTGATTTGTTCGGAGAAATCTTAGCATTGTGATAAAGCAGTGATTTTTTTTCCTTTTTAATGACTTTTTAGTTATTATTCATCCTGTAAAAATACAGATAGCTCTTGGATTTATTGAGCAAAAATAAGTATATCTTATTTCCTTTTGCCTTAGAAATAATAAACAACACACCTTTAGGAAGCTCAGAGTTGAAGAAAATCAAACAAGATATATATTGTTATGACCTCATTCAATATTGCCTCTTGGTCCTCAGTCAAGATTGTTCTCGAATCCAGGGTGGTTGGACTACAATTTCCCAGCTTACACAGATATTAAGGTAAAATGAAGCAGTAAGTCAGCTTGTTCTTGAGGAATATAGTAGTAGATTCTTATTTTCAACACTTGCTTCTTTTTATTCATCTGCCTAACAAGCAGTGGCAACCTCCTGTGGTAGGTTATGGTTGTACTTTTCCTTCATACTATATATTATTATTCATAACTGTATTTTTGAATATTTCACTATCTAAAATTTTATTCCATCAACTCTGTGAAGATGGTGATCATGTGTTTTGCTCACCACTGAATCCCAAGTACCTAACAGACTCTTCATTGACTAAGGAATATATGAAGAAGTGAAGATACTAAGATAGAAGTGAAGATATCATCATACAAAGCAGAATGAAATAGTGCTGAAATGAAAGTCATAAGCAAAGTACTATAGAACAGCTATAGAAACTGTTTATTTCACTGTGTATTGATTTAGCTATCTCAACTGGATATTTCATTAGGTAACCCAAATCCCATCAATAAAATTTAGAAGCAGCATTTACTCATCTACTGCCATGCTAGAAATTAAGAGAAAAGAGAGCAAAATCTTTTTTTTAAAGGAGACAATAAAATAAACCAGGTGTTCTCAGTGTCTAAGCCACTTCCTAATTAAGTAACTGGAAGTGTGCATTACTAATTGGATCTTAGCTTTCAAAACTGCTTACTCCTAATTTGTTACTAGATAAAGGCCAGATTCAAGGTATACAGTTAGAAAAAACAATTAACAAATGTACATAATATTCTTTTCTTTTCTGTGCCGATGGTACAGCACATTTTTTTTTTTTTTTTTTTGGTGAGGAAGATCAGCCCTGAGCTAACATTCATGCTAATCCTCCTCTTTTTGCTGAGGAAGATCGGCTCTGAGCTAACATCTATTGCCAATCCTCCTCCTTTTTTTTTTTCCCCAAAGCCCCAGTAGATAGTTGTATGTCATAGTTGCAGATCCTTCTAGTTGCTGTATGTGGGACATGGCCTCAGCATGGCCAGAGAAGTGGTGCCTCGGTGCGTGCCCAGGATCCAAACCCAGGCCACCAGTAGCGGAGCATGCGCACTTAACCACTAAGCCGTGGGGCCGGCCCATAATATTCTTTTTTATACTTTAATTAAAGTATAAGTAAATAAAGCCTTATGTCTTTGTTTTGATTAGATATATTAGCTCATGAAAATGTTGATTGAGATAGGCTCTCATGGGTGGAATCCAAGTCTTAAGAAATTGCCATGTTTGTAAATTTACAAAAAACAATTTCGTTTATTAATGTTCTCAATCAAACTAGGTACTCTGAAATAATTAACTTTAGGAACCAAAGGAAAAGAGAAACTAATACATGTGCGTGTTAGTCCATTAACTTTAGGAATTGATGTGCAAAAAAAAAAAGAAAACATGATACATTGAGCATTAGCCAGTTAAATTTTTAACATGCTCAATATGTAGTCACTATTGCTTATCAGTGTCTGCACATTTTGTGGAAAAGCCTCAAACAGCAATACTTCCTCATTAGAATATACACACAGAGACCATTCTTGGGTTGGGGTCTTTTTTTGGTATTAGTCTACAAAAATATTTTTTATTATTGAGACTTTTTTTTTTTTTTTTGGTGAGGGAGATTGACCATGAGCTAACATCCGTTGCCAATCTTCCTCTTTTTGCTGAGGAAGATTGGCCCTGAGCTAATATCTGTGCCCATCTTCCTCCAATTTATATAAAGGGGACTCTGCCACAGCATGGCTTGATAAGCGGTGCATAGGTCCGCGCCTGGGATCTGAACCTGAGAGCCCTGGGCCGCCAAAGCAGAGTACGTGAACTTAACCACTACACCACCAGGCCAGCCCCTGAGACTTTTGAATATACTCGTTTTATATCCAGAGAGTGACTTTTATTTGCAGATTCAAGAGGGCTCGTTTCTCTAAATGAATTTCTCTGATGTATTTTGTAAAGTGTTCCTACTAGAGTTAGGTTTTTGCTGTTTCCCCTTCTGATACAAGCAATGTGCAGTCAGATTCTTTGCAGTTTTAGGAAAGTAGATTAATTGGAAAATAGAATTGATATAAAATTAGAGTGTTTGATTTCCTAATCTGTCCCTTGCAGACTGATCCTACCCTGGGTATTTTTCAGCTATCAGATGTCTAAAATGTATCAGTTAAGACAAATGTTATTCATGAATTAGGCGTTCTAGGTATCCTATTGCTTTTAGAGTGTTTGTAGCTTGTTTGCTGAAAACTTGCCTCGTTTTTCTTTATTATGAGCCAAGTTATTTTGTTTCCTGAAAGATTGACAAGTAGGTTTTTAGGGTATATGAGTTCTGGTAAAGTCCACACCACTGTTTACTTTTCTAGAAAGTTGTTATACTAATTTTCCAGCAAAAATTCTTTATTGCCTTGGCAACAAAAGAAAGCTGCTAAAAATTCTCATTAAGGCACAGTGTCTATAGAAGCTTTAGCATTCAACTGAAAATTATAATTAACACAAACTGAGTCACAAACTTGTGCTCTTATTTCAGCCATTGCTGTGTGGGCTTGGAGCCAGGAGAAGATGCAGAGGAATTTTACAATGAATTACTTCCATCGGCTGCAGAAAATTTTCTGGTTTTGGGGAGACGATTGCAAACATGCTTCATCAATGCAGCTAAGGTATATGTATTTATTTAGTGTTTTGTAGCCAAAACAGTTTAATTCTTGAGAAGATGTTCCACATTTTTTTCAAATGTGCAATATTTGGCTGGAACTACAATTAGAGTAGTGGATTCAAACATTTTTAAAGTTACAACCCCCCCAAAAAAATCTCTACATTTGAAAATTTTACAGTGTTGGCTGAAGCATACTGTATGACTTTTTGAAGGATCTGCCTTACTACTCAACTCTGAGCAGCACCTATAGACATTTATTTTCATAACATCTTCCTAAAACATACTTGTACTTAAATTAACAGTAAAGTATTGTTTTCTAGGCCGAAGGCTTTTAGTAGCTCCAATGGCGAAGAAGAATAAAGGTGAACTGTCTATTTGATCTTTCAAATCTTCTCTAGCCAAAATATTTCAACTCAAACATAAGGGTCATTTCAATCCAACAATATTTCTTGGGTGAATTGTGTTAGGTACTATATGGGACTCTGTTTTTTTTGATCCATGAGTTATTTAGATGTGATGCTTAATTTCCAAATATTTGAGCATTCTGTTGATGTTTTATTGTTATTGATTTCTAATTTAATTCTATTGTGGTGTGATAGCATACTCTGTATCATTTCAATCCTTTGAAATTTTTTCACACTTGTTTAATGGCCCTCCGTATGTTTTATCTTGGTGAATGTTTTATTACAAGCAGTCCTTGCTTTGCACAGTGCTGTCTATACTGAAACTCCCGCATATCAGAACCATGTAAAGGTTTTGATATGCACGAGTTTCATTTAACATGGTACCATGCAAAAGCAAGGACTCTCCCTGTACTTGAATGTGAAATCTGCAGTTGTGTGTAACTAAGTCATCATGGGGTATTAAGTTCCGTTTGAGATGCTTTGAGTATATAAGGAATACACACAGTCTTGTGCTTAAAGAACTCCCAGGCTAATAAAGTATACAGGATCTTTAGAAATTTATTATAAGAAACCTAAGACAAATGTATTTTTAATTCAAAAAATAAATTAAAAAATTATAAGAGTGAAATTGAACGAGACATACAACAATACAATATGGACAGCATAGTAGTTTGAGTGTAGGAGCTATTGTTGGCAGAGAATTTAATAGAGTAATTTAATTAGTGATAGAGTATATGCTTTCTGTGTAATAGGTCACAAATTCTACTCCTGGTATCTCCAATGGCATTTTGAGGGATGCTAGCACCAAATATTTGCATATTTGCTACATTTAATTTAATTCAAGTCCATTAAAGCGACATGAATCATGGAAATTGTGTTGGACTTGATTTCTTCTTCAGGCTGTGCCACAAACTAATTCTGGGTTCTTAGGTAAATCACTTGATTTCATTGTACCTCAGTTTCTTCCTTTGCAAGATGATTTCTATCTCATGAATAGCTCAGACCAGTATGAAAGCTTTGTATTTTCATCAAAGCACTTTTATTTAATATACCTTCTTTAAGGGCAATAATAATTATATTCTTTTCATTTATATACTTCAATACTTTTCATAATACTTTCCTATTCTTTATTATGGTATTTGTATAGAGATAAATTGTCTAGTACATACATCAAGGGGAGTAAATCATCTATAGAAAAGGAGGGCCACTTGATCACAGGGCAAAATTAAAACGGGGATAAAAAGGAGAAAACAAAGAACTGAATTTATTTATTTGTTCTGTCTACCTACGTGTTTCCCACCTAGGGGTCGGATTTTTTTTTTTTTTTAGTTAGCCAGCATATAGGTAGTAGATCACATGGTGAGACATACACAGGATGTTCTGGCCTCAACTGCAAACTGGTTCAAATATACACACACATATACATATATATGCATACATACATATATATGTGTTTTATATATAAGAATAGAAAAACGCCTCTGCAAGAATTCTGAAGTGATTTAAGAATAAATTTTGTTAATCAGTCTCAGGAGCCATGAATTTATGGGTGACATTATCTAATGAGTTTTTAAGGAAAGTGGGAGGTATTGGAGCCCAGCACTATCCTTTGAGGTTGATAACAATGAGAATTACTATGCCCTTTCTGCTGTGTCTTTTGGTAAAACTGGCAAAGTCAGTTTATTGGACTAAAGAGATTCTTGATCTAATGTGACATTTCTTTTTTGTTGTTGTTGATTGTTATATTTAGGTTAGCACTTGTCTATTTAAGCACCTATCTAAACCTGTGCTAGAATAATAGGAAGAAAATGCTTTCATTATTATGAAGAATAATCATAGCAATCATAATGTTTTTGCTGTTGTCATCATTACTTTTGTGCTACAGTACAAACATTCAGGACATGGGTAATATTAGTGGCCTTTATACAACTTTCTGCTAAAGTTACATGGCCAGTAAATGACAGAATTGTGAATGGAATCTGTTTCTTATTTCCCATTATGATACATGCTCTAATCTAGAATAATTTCTCACTTTACTTTCCAGAAAAGAGGAAGCAGAAAAAATTGTCATTTATTTATTGAATAAATATTGATTGAACATTTACTGTGTGTCAGAACTGTCTTAGAGTGCGGAGAGCTAAATGACATGGTCATTTAGCCCTCATGGAGTCATAGGAAAGAAGCTGTAACTTCTAAAGCACTAATAATATGCACTAATAAGAATGCTTTACATACTGACATCTACTTTTGCATAATGCAGTGATTTTCAACCCTGGCTGCATTACCAAATCACCCACTTAACTTTGTAAAAGTACAGATATCCAGACTTGAACTTTGGCGATTCAGATGCATTATGTTTGGACTAAAGCCTGTGCATGGGTATTTTAAAAAAAGCTTTGCAGGTGATTCTGATGCATAGCCAGTGTTGAGAAATGTTAGTGCATCGACGTGTAGTTCTTATACTGCTTATATTGTCTCATTTGACCTCTGGATAACAACCATTTCTAGTAAATAGAGTAAGTATTACTAGCCTATGACCACAAGTTATGTAAATTAAAAAACTAAAGGCTACAAGATCATGTACCTTATAAATAGCTAAATTAGATCCAGAAACCAGGTGTTCTGACTCCCCAGAGAGAAGTCTCTTTTTTTTTAATCAAGTATTTACAGAAAAGTAAATTGAGTTTTTTTGTGTGTGTGAAGGGTGAAGAAAAAGATGAATTACTACACTTTTTCCAAATTGTGACTGATTCTCTGTTCTGGCTCTTGGGAGACCATGTTCAACTCATCCAAAGTGGTAAGAGAAAAGATTTTTAATGTAACTGATAGTCATTGTAGAGTTACCTCTAAACAGTTTGATCTTTTTTTCTAAAAATAAATACCTCATTAACCATATAGATAACCACAGTTCAATAAAACCACGTTGAAATAACCCCCCACACACAAAAATAAAAGCCCATTTGGACATTCTAGCTTTAAACAGCCAACATTGACAATGTGAATATTATTTTAAGGGGAAAATTGCTAAACTATAACTTTCTTCTTAGCTTTTTCTATTTAGCAAATCCAAGATAAGAATTAATGATAATTTTAACAATTTAGGCTAGGGAAAAAATTTTTTAAGTTTCAAAGATTACAGTTGTATTTTAGAATTAGTATGAGAGAAATCCCTATGTGCGGAGTAGATATGATTTAACTCATAGCCTAACTGTTCATCTAAGAGTAAGCTTTTATACAATGGCATTTTACTGAACTTGAAAATGATTTTGTAGACTATTTCTACACTTACATTGAGAAGTATAAATATATGTTAGTTTTATATTATGTTTTCTTAAGACTGAGAAAGTAATCCTTAAAGATAATCTTGACAACATTCCTGTCCTCTTGAAAGATTTAATCTAAGATAAATGTAACTATATAAGAACATTGTTTGATTTTTTTAAGAAAATAAAAGTTGAACTGAATTTTTATTTTTAATTTTATTTTTTTTCTCAGAATTATGCATGCACATAAAGAATCAAATAGTTCTATAAAGATTGTTAAAAAAAAAAGGAAACACAGTCTGTAGCTGCCTCACTCCATTTCCCATTTTCTAAAGGTAGCTGCTTGGAATTAGTGTAACTAATACTTTTGGTAGTTATCTCCATATAGTGATAATAACGTGCTTAGAAACTTCCTTTTTTTTTTTTTTTTAAGTATTATCTATTCATGTCCCATTATGGAACAAATATTATGAAGTTCCCAATTTAAAGAAATATTTTACCAAAAATATAAAATACTTAGTCTTACTGTAGTGGGATGTAAAAGACCTACTAAAAAGAGAGACAGCAAGAGAGAGAATACTTGAATAATTTTAAAAATATGCCATATTCCTTTTCAAAAATAGTAACTATATTGAGTCAGCCCTGATGGCCTAGTGGTTAAAGTTTGGCCCTTTCACCACTTAAGTGGCCTGGGTTCATTTTCCGGTCATGGAACCATACCACCCATCTGTCAGTTGCCATGCTGTGGCGGTGGCTCACATAGAAGAACTGGGTATACTACCATGCACTAGGGCTTTGGGGAGGAAAAAAAAATAGAAAGATTGGCAACAGATGTTAGCTCAGGGTGAATCTTTTCCTGAAAAAAAAAAAAATAGTAACTATAACAAAAGTAACAGTGTTCCTCAAGTCAATCTGAGATTTAAAATATCAATAAAGTAGGTATTAAAACTAAATTAAGCAATAGTGAGGCCAGCCTGGTGGTGCAAGCGGTTAAGTGTGCGCGCTCCGCTGTGGCGGCCCGGAGTTCGCCAGTTTGGCTCCCGGGCAGGCACCAGCGCACCGCTTGGCAAGTCATGCTGTGGCAGCATCCTATATAAAGTGGAGGAAGATGGGCATGGATGTTAGCCCAGGGCCAGTCTTCCTCAGCAAAAAGAGGAGGATTGGCAGATGTTAGCTCAGGGCCGATCTTCCTCAAAAAAAAAAGAAAAAAAACCTGAATTAAACAATTGTGAAATTCATATGCAAAAAATAAATGGATACAAAATTGGGTTCTCCAACAACCTCTTTTCTAAAAGAATCAACGTCTTGGAGAAATGTCTGACTATAGGTCTGGGGTAGAAAATATGCAAGATAAGCCTAAAGTATCTTGCATACCAGATAGGAAAGAAGCAAAGTCTATTAGGATTTTGTGAAAAGGACTCAGAAGCCACCAGAATGAGGCCTCTACCAGCCAAAACTGGGAAGTGTGAACAGTAATAAGGATAATAACGATAATAACTACAGTGGATTGAAACATTTCAAATATAGTGAGACTGTTTAAAAAAATTATCCTTAGAGTCTGCTAGGGAACCAGTTCAGTTTGAAAACTGGTAAATGAAGAATCCAGCACTTATCCGGCCTTTTCTTACATATTGATGAGGAGAAATTTCCCTTTATAAAAATATTCCAATTAGTAAGTGAAAAAGTTATGATAGAATAGTGCCATTTTGCAACCCTTAGTGAATGAATTAATGGATTTAGAAATTAATCATCCTTCACCGTCAACATCAAAAGGAGAGACAACCAGATATTAAGTGCCTCCTAATGGCTCATCATAACCTCTCATATGAAATTTATATGCCAAAAATTCAAACCTGAATCACTTCAATCCTCTAGCTCCAACTAGCAATTTATAGAAGGTCAGAGAAACATTAAATTACACTCTAGGAATGCACTTACCAAAACTAGACTGTGGGAAGCTCATAGGACAACTGACATAGTTTCGTCAACAAATAAATTGCAAGAGGGAAAAAAAAGGTAGAAGAGGAATCCATAGATTAAAAGAAATTTGAAAGACAACCAATTACAATGTGTGGATCTTATTTGGATCTTGACTCAAACTAACTTTTAAAAATTCGGAGAGCAGTTGGAAATTGGAATAATTACTGGATATTTGATAAAATTAAGAGTCATGATTATTTAGGTTAGATACTGGCTATGTTTTATTTTTCAATAATTCAAATCTTTTGGGAATATATATTGAAATATTTGTGGATAAAAGCATTTTATGTTTTGGATTTGCTTCAAAATAAAATGAGAGGCAGGAAGTGGATGGGGTAGGTGAAATAAGATTGGCTATGAGTTGGTCATTGTTAATTGTTAACCAGTTGAATGACTGGTACATGCAGAGTCATTATACTATTCTGTCTACTCTTATGTACGTTTGAAACTTTCATTAAAAAAGTTTAATTAAACAAAGAAATGGGTAAAAGTATCAGTTCTTATTTGGGGAACCACATAGTTATCTGATCATACTTGAAAAACAGAATAAGAGCTCCAAAAATAAGTTATATAATAATATATTATAAGACAAACAGTATAAAAAATAAAATGGAATGACTAATAAATTATTTTAGCATAATTTTTTTCAATATAGAAAAAAGATAAACTTATAAACACACTACATATTACATGATTTCAGTGAATTCAAAGTTAATTAAACAGTTATTAATAAAACATCTTTAAGTAGACAAAAATTGAATAATATACTTATCCCACCGACAGAAAAGGATTTTATTTACTATTGAATTAGTAGAAAATAAGAAGCCATAGATATATTTAATAGTAGTAGAATTGTTTTTTGAATTGGTGTCTAGAAAAATATTGAAATATTGGACTATGTATATAGAAATGAAGAACAGTAGTTAGTATGTGAAAGAAATCACATATGTTTCCTCAGGAGATAGAAAGAGGAAAAGAGTGAAGTTGTTCTATAGAAGCTAGGGTAGTGTTCACAGAGCTGCCTTGCCAGCATACCTGAGCCCACTTTAATTAAAATTCTGATCAGTTAGCAGAGAAGGGAATAGAAACCAACATTTACCGGGAACCTACCCTGTTCTAGGATGTTCTGCAGTAGCCTGTGAGAGAGCTATTATTTCTAGTTTTACAGATTAAGAAACGGATATTCTGAGAGGTTAAGCAATTGCATAAGCATCCAATGCCAAGTCTTCATAACTGTCTGCTCAGAGCCTAAAAATTATAAACCAATAAAAACAAATGTTTTATAGTTAATGATTTCATTATTACTTAAGATATTAGCAAACATGATACATTAGATAACAATTAAATTTTTTTAAGGACATAAGCCACTGATTATAGTCATCTGTACCATTTCTATGCCTTCATTTTCTCTCTTCTTCACAGGAAATTGATTTTATTCACTAAATTCACTGCTAGAAAAAGAGATTCAGATTTAGGATATGTTATATTTTATTTTTAATTTAAGAGGAGATAATAATAGATTCTTAGCTTGGTATTTGTGGATGCTTTCTATTTATAACTGTTCATAAAAATAGAATGACTATTTATGTTTATTGAAACTGCCTATCTTAAAATCATCTTTATTGTAGAGTATACAAAGGCAGGAAGTTTAGCAGAAATGGTTATGCTTTGATTTGGTTTTGAAAGAACAAGTGAATCCCAATTGTATCATCATAGAATCTTTGTTTTAAACTTTCTTTTTTTTCTCTTCCTTTAGTACTACAAAGTGATCATTTCTTGCACTTACTGCAAACTGACAATGTTCAAATAGGATCTACAGTCATGACTATGCTACAGAGCATACTACAGATCAGCAGGTGACTTGATTTTACAAAATACAATTTTTTATTTTTGATCAGAAGCATTACCAATTGTATTCCAGTTTTGCTGAAATCATTGATTGTATATAACTGTACATGATACTTAGAAAGCTCTCTTATTACCCTTGTCTTTCAGGGAAGAAAAAGAATATAAAATACCATAAAAGACTGGAAATTTATTATCAAGTTGGTGTCTTCTCTGAGAGCTTAAGATTTTAGACCAAATCTCAGGCTTAGAGAAGAAAAATTACTGTGATATCTGCAGATAAATATTGGGATCACATTAGAAAATGCTTAATCGTATATTTATTTAGTAAACTGTGAGCTCAGTATTGTGCCAGGTGCTATAAAAGGCCATAAAAGTAGTTAATAGGAAATTTTCCCAGGTTAAAATGGAAAGGCAGAGTATAAACAGTTGAAATAATTGATTTTTTCAGTTCAGTATGGGTTTATTAAGCATCTACTATATGCCAAGTGTGTGTCTGTCATTAGGTTTACAAAGTTAAGATATAAACTTTGCCTTCAAATAGCTTACAATATAATGAAAGAGAATGATACACGAACATAATTGTATTATAGTGTACTAACTTACAATGTTAAAGGTGTGCACAACTGTTAGAGGAGCTCCTAACCCAAACTGATGGAGGATGCTTCCTGGAGAAGGTAACAGCTGAGATGAAACTTTAAGGATGAGAAATTAGCCAGGGAAGAAGAAGAGAAAGCAGTATTTCTAGGCAGAGGTAACAACATAAGCAAATGCACAGAGATAAGAAACAACATGCCAAGGTGAAAAATGGGTACAATTCATTGTTGCTGACATTTAAAGTTTGGTATGCGGAGGTGGCCAGCAAGTTTTCCAGAGACTTAAGTCACAAAGAGTTCACATGCTGTGTTAAGGAAACCAAGTCTTATCCTGTAGGCAATAGGGACCATTGAAAGATTTTTAAAGTGGATAAAAATAGTCAAATTACAATTCACTTAAGTCACTCTGGTCACTGTGGGGAGTAAAGATTTAGGGGGGACAAAACTCTAGACAGAGAAGGCAATTAGAGGATGCTAGCAACCATAGTAATCCAAGCAAAGTAATAAAATCTTGGCCTTGGGCGCTGGTACCAGGAGAATGGATTTTAAAAACTAATGAATTAAAATCATCAGGACTTCACTTCCACTTGTGATCAAAATGGCATAATAGAGGGGCTGGCCCCGTGGCTTAGCAGTTAAGTGCGCGCGTTCCGCTACTGGCGGCCCGGGTTGGGACCCCGGGGGCACACCGATGCACTGCTTCTCCGGCCATGCTGAGGCCATGTCCCAAATACAGCAACTAGAAGGATGTGCAGCTATGACATACAACTATCTACTGGGGCTTTGGGGAAAAAAAAAAAAAAGGAGGAGGATTGACAATAGATGTCAACTCAGAGCCAGTCTTCCTCAGCAAAAAGAGGAGGATTAGCATGGATGTTAGCTCAGGGCTGATCTTCCTCACAAAAAAATAAATAAATAAATAAAACTGTAAAAAAATAAAAATGGCATAAGAGAAATGGATTTACCCTACTACCTGAGAAAACAAACACCAGGCAAAACATGAACAACAGTGTTCAAGAAACTGGACTTCAGTCAATGAAAGACCGTGAGCCCTGAGAAAAAGGAATGAACAAGATGAACCTACAATTTCCCTGACTTATAGCATTGAGAGAGTTTCCAGGTGGTGGGAGGGGTATCCTAGCCAGGCTGAGTTGAAGAGGTAGAGCTGAGAGTCTGGGGAGAACAAAACGGCAAAACGGCTAGAGTTCACAATATAGAATACCATACAAGAAATAGCTACACAGAGGGAGAACCCCAGAGATCTGCAGAGGGTCCCCTTCAATTATTCAGTAGAGTACTGATCAGCACATAGGTGTGAGGAAACTACCCAGACAGTAATCCAAAGGATTAAAATAAAGAGTACCAGAAGCTCACACAGAGCCAGGAATATTGCCTGATTCCAGCAGCCAAACTGGAAAACCTCATGAATAATGGAGCATTGGGTAGAGTATTCAGGAAGGTTTTACCTCGGTAATGGGGGGATAATTAGCACTAGACTGAGCACTATTCTGGACCATCCAAACAGAATAAAAGCAAGACCCGAAAGGATCAAATTATTTCCGAGTAACTTAATTGCACCTGGTTATTGAAACTGACTACATCTTAAAGTCGTCTTTACTGGAAAGTATACAAAGGCAGAAAGTTTAGCAGAAATGGTCATGCTTTGATTTGGCTTTAAAAGGATGAGAAAATCCTACTTGTGCCATCATAGAATCTTTGCTTTGATCTCGTTTTTTGTCTTCCTTTAGTAATAGAAAGTGATCATTTCTTGCAGTTACTACAAACTGACAGTGTTCAAATAGGATCTACAATCATAACTATGCTATAGAACATTCTACAGATCAGCTTGGTTTTTACAAACTTTTACTGTTTTTTTATTTTTGGTCAGAAGCATTACCAATTTGATACCAATTTTGTTAAAGCATTGGTTGCATATGATTTGTACATGGCACTTGAAAATCTCTAACCAGAAGGAAGCTCAAAAATATTTTTAGGAGAGCAAAAATATCCAGCATCCAACAAGATAAAATTCATACAAGTACCGGGCCTGCAAACAAGCAGGAAAACAGGACCCATAATGAGAATAATCAGTTGATCAACATCAAGTATATGAGAATTAATAGACAAGGACATCAGGACGGTTATAACTGTATTCCATATGCTCAAAACGTTGAATAGAGGCATATATGACATAAGACCCAAAATGAACTTGAGGACATGAAAATGGCAATCCCTGAGATGAAAAATACACTGGGCAGAATTAACATTGCAGATTAGTCAACTTGAGCACATAGCAATAGAAACTATCCAAAATGAAACAAACAGAGAAAAGGAATCAAAAGAAAGAGAGAGAGGGGGGAGGAGAGAAAGAAAGGAAAGAAAACACATCAGTGAATCAGTGATCTGGAGGACTATTTCAAACAGCATTATATAGGTATAATTAGAATACCTAAAGGAGGTAGTAAAGTCAGAAGAAAATATTTGAAGAAATAGTGGCTGAAAATTTTCCAAATTTGATAAAAACTGTAATCTTGCAGATTCAAAAAGCTCATCAAACCCCAAGGACAATAAATATGAAGAAAATTCTACACCAAGGCACATTGTTATCAAAGTGCTCAAATGAGTGATACAGAGAAAATCTCAAAAGCAGCCGGGGGGGAAAAGACATACACATATACAGAGGAATGAAGATAAGGATGACAGCAACTTTCTTGTCAGAAACAACACAAGCAAAAAGATAGTTGAGTGATATCTTTAAAATACTGAAAGAAAACAACTGTCAAACTAGAATTTTATACCCAGCAGAAGTATGTTTCAAAAACAAAGGTGAAATACTTTTTCAGAAATCACCAGCAAACCCACACCACAAGAAATGTTTAAGGAAGTTCTTTAGGCAGAAGGAAAGTAGATCTACGCAAAGGAATGAAGAATATCAGAAATGGTAATTATATAGGTAACTGTGTAAAATTATTTTTCTTATTATGACAGTATTATATAAAATATAACATTTGCTTATACGAAAATAATAACAATGTATTGGGGTTTTAAAACATATGTATTATTAGTAAAACATATTACAACAATAGCATAAAGACTGGGAAGAGAGAAATGGAAGCATACTATTGTATGCTTAAAAGTAAAAGGATGAAGAAAGATATACCATGCTAATGTTAGTCAAAAGAAAGTTAGAGTGCCTATATTAATATCAGAAAAAGTAAATTTCAGAGCAAAGAATATTACCAGTGATAAAGTTATTTCATAATAATACAGAAGTCAATTCACCAAGAAAACATTTTTATTGACCTAATAGCAGAGCTTCAAAAATTGACAGAACTACAAGGAGAAATAGACAAATCTACAATTAAAGTGAAAGATGTCAATATCCCTCTCTTGATAATTGATAGAATAAGTAGACAAAAAATTAGTATGACTACAGAAGATTTGAACAACAATATAAATATCAATTTGACCTGATTGACATTTTTGGAACACTGTACCAAACAACAGCAAAATGCACATTCTTTCCAAATGCAATGGAACATTTACAAAAAGACCATTTTTCTGGGCCATATAACGAGTCTCAATAAACTTAAAAGCATTTAAGTCATACAGAGTATATTCTCTGGCCTCAATGAAATTAAATTGGAAATTAATACCATGAAGATCTCTGAAAAATCCCCAGATATGTGGGAAATAGTAGTGCATATCCGAATAACCCAAAGGACAAGAAAGAAATAAAAATTAAGTTAGAAATTATTTTTAAATGAATGGAAATGAAAACGACATATGCAGATTTCTGAGATGAATCTAAAAGCAGTACTTATGGGAAAATTTACATCCCTAAATGCCTATAAGAAAAAAAGAAAGATCTCAAATCATTGACCTCAGCATCTACTTTAAGAAACTAAGAAGAGAGAATTAAAGTAAGCAGAAGAAAGAAAATGATAAAGATCAAAGCAGAAATCAGTAAAATATTATACAAAAACAATAGAGAAAATCAATGAAACTGTAAGCCAGTTCTTTGAAAAGATCGATGAAATTAATAAACCTATAACAAGACTGATCAAGAGAAAAAGTACAAACTGCCAATATCAGGAATGAGAAAGGCCAATACAATAGAGTCGGTAGATATTAAAAATATCATAAGAGAATAATAACACCTTTATGCTTGTCTAGATGAAATGGATAAGTTCTTTGAAAGACACAAACTACCAAAACTCATTCAAGAAGCAATAGATAGGGGCTGGCCCAGTGGGGTAGTGGTTAAGTTCACACACTCCACTTCGGCAGCCTGGGGTTCGCGGGTTCAGATCCCGGATGCAGACCTGTGCACCGCTTGTCAAGCCATGCTGTGGCAGGCGTCCCACATATAAAGTAGAGAGGAAGATGGGCACGGATGTTAACCCAGGGCCAGTTTTCCTCAGCAAAAATGGGAGGATTGGCAACAGATGTTAGCTCAGGGCTAATCTTCCTCACCAAAAACACATTAAAAAAAAAAAAAAGTAATAGATAACATGAATAGCCCTATAACTATAAAGAAATTGAATTTGTAGTTAAAACACTTCCCACAAAGAAAACTCCATGACTAGATGGCTTCTTCGGTGATAAATTCTACTAAACGTTTGAGGAAGAAATAATCCTAAACAAACTCTTCCAGAAAATTGAGGAGATAGAATTACTTCCCAACTCATTATATGAAGTCAGCATTACCTGGATACCAAAACTAGACAAAGATGTTATAAGAAAATGCCTCGTTAAGATACTAATGAATGTAGATGCAAAAATTCTAGTTAATGTGTCTTGAATAAGTTGGATTTATCCCAGGAATTCAGAACTGGTGTAATATTCTAAAGTCAATCAATACAATTCATCATATTAACAGACCAAAGATGGAAAAACATATCGTCATTCTCCAATAGATGCAGAAAAGGCTTTTGACAAAATTCAACATCCATTCCTAATTAAAAAAAAAAAAAAACTCTCAACAGAGTAGTAATAGAACTTCCTCAGCCTGATGCAGAGCCTCTAGGAAAAACCTACAGCTAAGATACTTAATGGCAAAATACTAAATGCTTTCCCTGTAAGATCATGAATAAAATAAGGGTGTCCACTCTGATCACTTCTATTCAACATTGCATTGGAGTTTCTAGCCAGTACGGTCAAGCAAGAAAAAGAAAAGTTATCCATACAGAAAGGAAGAAACAAAAATTTCTGTATTTGGAGATGACACTGTCATCTATACAGAAAATCCAACGGAATGTACAAAGTCACTAAAACTATAAGTGAGTGTAGCAGGGTAGTAAAATACAAAATCAGTGTAAAAATATAAAGTGAATTCTTATACCCATCAATTAAATACTCTGAAATTGAAATTTTAAAATATTGCAATTATGATAGCACAAAAAATATGAAATGTGTAGGGTTAAATCTGGTAAGAGATATGAAAGATATATTTACTTAAAACTGTATATTGCTGAGAGAAATGAAAGAATTTGTAAATAAAGGGAAAGATAAACTGTTGATCCATGATGCAATATTGTTAAGATTTCAATTTTCTCCAAATCGATATATACCTTAAACACTATCCCAGTCAAAATCCCATTTTTGCACAAATTGACAAGCCCATTTCTACAACTTATATGAAAATCAAAGGACCTAAAATATAAAATAACCTAACCAACTTTGAAAATGAAGAATAAAGTTGGGAGAGCTAACACTACCTAATTTTAAAACTTTTTTATAACACTAACATAATTAAGACAATGAGATGTTGGTGCAAAAGATATGCAAATATATCAATGGAAAAGAATGGAATCCAGAAATAGACTCATACCTATATGAACAATTGATTTTCAAAAAAAATGTAAAGGTCATTCAGTCGGAAAAGGATGATCTTTTTAAGGATAATGGAACAATTGGCTATCACTATGTAAAGAAAAGGATTTTGATCTATACCTCACCATATGTAAAAATTAATTCAAGATGGATAATAGACCTAAATGTAAAACCTAAACTATAAAACTTATTGAAAAATACTAGAAAACCATTATGACCTTGGGTTGTGAAAAATTGCTTAGATTCTTAGATATGGCACCAAAAGTAAAATCCAGAAAAGAAATTGATAAATTAGACTTCATCAAAATTTTAAAAGTCTGCTCTTCAAAAGATACTGTTTAAGAAAATGAAAAAGATGACACAGACTGGCAGAAAATATTTGCAAGCACATATTTTAAGTATTTGTATCCAGAATATAGAAAGAACTCTCAAAATTTAATAATAAAAAAAACTCAGGTTGAAGAATGGGCACAAGATCTGAACAGACACTTCATGAGAGAAGATCTATAGATGGCAAACAAGCACATGAAAAGATGTTGAGCAACATTAGTCGTTAGGGAGATACTACTACACTCTTGTTAAATGGCTAAAATTTAAAACACTGACTGACCCAAATGTTGACAAGGATGTGGAGGAACTGATACACTGCTGGTGGGAGTGGTAAAATAGTACAATCACTTTGGAAAATAGTTTGACAGTTTCTTAACAAGCAAACACACCTGCTATATTACCCATCCATTCCACTCCTAGGTATTTGCCCAAGGAAAGTGAAAGCATATGTTCTTACAAAGACTTGTACACAAATGTTCGCAGCAGCTTTTATTTGTAATAGCCAAAAACTAGACACAACTCAAATGTCCATCAACAGGTGAATAAACTGGTAAATCCATATAATAGAGTACTACTCAGCAATAAATAGGAATAAACTACTCATACATGTGGCAACACAGATGAATATCAAAATAATTGTGTTGAGTGAAAGAAGCCAGGCAAAAAAAAAGTACATATTATATGATTCCATTTGTATAAAATTCTAGAAAATGTAAACTAATTTATAGTGACAGAAAGCAGATCAGTGGTTGCCTGGGTACCAAGGCGGGAAGGACTACACTGAAGCTCAAGGAAACTTTGTGGGGTGAGGGATATGTTTATTACCTTGAATGTAGTGGTAAAACATCAAAATTTATCAAATTATACACTTTAAATGTGTGTGGTTTGTTTTATATCAATTATACTTGAACAAAACTGTTAAAAATAAAAATCAGGCCTTGGTGAGCGTTTTGTTATGGGACAGAGTAAAAGATGCATTCGGTTATGACACCGACCAAGTTGTCTATATTGGGTAATTAGATAGAGAGTGGTATAACCAAAACAAAGAACATATAATTACTTGGTTGGGGAGACAGGTGATGAATTCAGTGTTGGTTGTGTTGAACATAGGTGGATATATTCAGCAGACAGTGAAATAAGAGTCCATGCAAAGACTTGTACATAAACATTCATAAGCAGCTTTATTTGTAATAGCCAAAGACAAGGTGACTCAAATGTCCATCAATAGATGAATAGATAATTTTACTTCTGGAAGAGATCTGGTCTAGGGTTATAGATTTATGAATCATTAGCCTAGAAATGGTAGTTAAAAACATGAGAGAAGATGAGCTCAGTAGGAAATATAAATAGAGTGAAAAAGGAAATGGGCTGAAATGGAATCCTGAGGAATAACCTTTAAGGAGTATACTGGAGAAGAGGAGCTAATGAAGAAGACTGAGAAAGAATGGTCAAAAATCTGTGGGTGGAGGATGGAGGGGGGACCAGAAGAACATTGTATCACAGAAGCTGAACAGGTAGAGAGTGTCGGGTATAGCCTTTACAGTTACTTTTTCTACTGGACAAGAGTCGTTTATATTGTTGTTGAATAAGAATCTATTTGCATTGCCCTCAGATAAGAATCATTGCCATTACTCATTTTCCGCAGACCAACCTCTACTTTTACAGAATTGCAAAATACCTAATCAATAGGAAATAGTCAAACAAAGGTAGACACCCCTAGAAAATCACATACTCCTTAGTGGAGGGAGTAAAAGGATACCCAGTAATCCCTTTTGAGTTATTCATAAGTTTCAGATAATTTTTTTGCCATAAGTAAGGCAAGATGAGGTTGTGAGTATAATGAAGGAAATACCAAAGGAAAGATAAAGTTCCTCCGATATTAAGTACACAATAATTGAATTCCTATAGCATTTTTATCTTCATACATCATTAAGCAATGAACTATGTTCTGTCTGGGGATTTTCCTCTTGTTGCCTTGAAGCTTTTGAATCATCGATTTAATATTTTGCACGTTTATCTTTCCTCCACAATTTGATTGCAGTTTCTCTGAGGAGAGGGCCTTTGGATACTTTGTATTCCCTATTTTACCTAGCATGGTGCCTTACACACAGTAAGAATTCAATAAATACTAATTAATTTAATGTGATATATTCTTGGAACTGAGCTATACATTTAAAAAATTGGTTATCTTTTTGGATCGGGCCACAGTCAGGCATCAAGTTGCTGAACCTTTTATGTTTCATTTGTTGTTATACCTATGCTTCAATAGTAATGGTACATTTTTTATTTTTTTATTTTGTTCTATTAGTGGTGATTTACTGAGAATAGAAGGAAAAACCCTGCATTCAATTTTAGACGAAGTTGTTTTCAAGCTTTTATCAACTCCTAGTCCAGTCATAAGACGTACTGCCACAAAGCTGCTACTGTTGATGGCTGAATCCCATCAGGAAATTTTGATTTTACTGAGACTAAGTGCCTGCTACAAAGGTAGTGCATATATTCCTTCTTTTCTTGAGATTCTCAAAAAGAACATTTTTATTGATGATTTATGGAAAACAAAATTTCTGTTTTGAAAAAGTCAGTAACTAAAGTGTGTAGATAAAACCCTATCACAACAGATACCAATTCAGGAAACAGTTTTTATGTAATCAGGCTATCTTCCTGTCTCAGCAGATGGCATATGGTACTTTGTTATTGAGGTTACGATGAATATTTATTCCCTCTATGACCAAAAGTTTGTGTGTTGAATATACCATATAGTACAGTAAAAATAACGACCAAAAAGATTGGTGACCTTACCAGGACTAGTTTTACTGGAGAATATAGAGCTGATTGACAGCACTTTTGATTTTTGCATCAATTAATACTCTTCAACTCCTTCACCACCTTTTCTCAAAAAGAAAAAAAATCTCCCTCACTTCCAAAATCAAACGTATATGTGAATAAAAAGTTGGAAAATTTGAGGAGGAAGGAGCTCAGTGTATTACCATTCCCATATACTAACTTTCATTTAATTGAGCATTTACTATGTCAGATACTATTCTACATACTTCGTGTGCATTAAAATATTTAATCTTCATAACAATGCTGTGAGATATTTACTCTTATCCTCATTTTATAGTGGAAACAGAGTATATATAGCAGTGGAAACAGAGGCATGGAAAAATTAGGTAATTTACCCAAGATCACAGTTTTTTTCCCAACTGCCAAGCAGAATTATATGTTAGCGTTGTTTTATTTTCTTTGCTAGACAGAGCCTTGAATTCATTACAATATATTTTCTTATTCAACATGGTCAGGAAATATGCCTCTAGGTCATTAAATATACTTCTTAATACAGGGTTATATTATATGGAAATTTTTAAAGATTAGACTTTATATTTAGAGATTAAACTTTTAAAGATTAAACTTTATATTTTATATAGCCTACCATTTCTAGGCTAGGTATGCATTTAATACCAAAACTATTACAGTGGCCTTTTAATCATTCTGGATGACTTAGAAGGCACTTTAGTAGCTTACCTTGTATCAGTCATTACTGTGAACATTATAATTATTTTATATGTTATAGGAATAGAGAGGGGGAGAAAGTGTCGGTAATAGAACTCTCTAGTTGATATAGTGCCAGATATACATTTCTTGATTCTGTATTTAGTTTTCTTCTATAGAAATGTGAATGTCCCACAGAGTTCATTATAAAGAAATTTCACCTTAATGGATTTGTCTCACTTTTTTTTCTCAATAGTAAAGCTTATTCAGTTTCCTCAAGATATTTTACAATTATTAGTACTGCTGAGAACTTGAGTCTTGAAGAGTGTATAAGGCATGGAAAGATCCATATAGTGGCTTCCCCAGTTGTATACTCCAATGCCATTTTACTTATTTATATTGCATACACGCATTATAATACATCATTCCCACATGCCGTGGAAACAGTACTTACTTTGTACCTTATACTACTACTGTTTTATTTGGGAATGAAAATGCAGTATTTTAGTATTATAGTACTTCTCCTGTAACATCTGCTCAGGAACCTATTGATTTTCCCCAGATTACATACATTACTGTGTATTTTTATTTAATAATAACTTTCTTTAATTAATAATGGCTAATGGTAGCCTGCTTCAGTGCTTCTGTACGGTAGGCATTTACTCAGTATGTACTCATTACCTTTTTAAAAAATGTTTTGGTTTGAGGTATTTATGTTCAAACAAAAAAAATTATAAATCTCTACTCTTTGACTTACCACAATGATTCTACTCCCCTTTTTTTAATTAGAGAGATTGACTAGACAAATTTTGCTTCAGATCTTACAAGTAAGCACATAAAAACTCTTAGGACAGAGAAATGTCTTAACGACCTCAGTCTAGAAGTCTTTGAGCATAGGAAAAAGAAAAATCATGTGACTAGTCTTATGTTCATTTGTTTCTAAACCAGACTTTTTAACCTCAAGTTAATACTGATTAGATAACAAAATCATATTTTATTAGTAATAGTTGTACCTTTGTTATTCCATTTCAGGCCTCAGAAGTCTACTAAATAAACAAGAGCCCGGGACAGAGTTTAGTCAAGAACTTAGACAGCTCATTGGCCTTTTAAACCCTAAGGCCTATCAGGAAGTAGAAGAACAGGTATTAAATTATAAAAATAATTTGCACAATATTTGCTAACAGTTCAGTAAACATTTAGTTTCAAAATATTGGAGAGTGGTAGTCTCTTGAATCTTATTTGCTCTCTCTCTCCCTTTCTTTACTTATTTCTCCCTGAGATCCAGAGCAGCCATATTTTGTTGGGGAAAGGGGTTGTTTATGGACTATGGACTGAATTTTTAACCCCAGAGCTTTTTTTTTAGCTAGTACAAAGAGTTCTTCATACCCTTGAATCCTTGAATAAGTGAGGCCGGGCATAAGAAGTCAAGCAAAGAAGTTAAAGCATTAAATAAGCAGAACTATGAAATCCTTGTCAAGGGAGTAAAAGTGAGATTAATCAGGGAGAATTTGGAGATAACCAAACTATATCTTGAATACGTTCTAGGTGTTGTCTAACTGAGCCTAATGTACCTCCTTTGGAAGGCCAGGTTTAATATCCTTAGGCCTTCCCTGTCCTGGGCCTATGAAAATGTTGCCTCCTGCCCAACTTATTAGAGATGGAGATTAATACTTGCCCAGGCTTAATATTTTAAGAGGTAAACTTCTAAAAGACTTTCGTAGAGATGTCTCTAAATTAATTCTGGCTTTTAATTTCAGAAACTACATCAAGCAGCTTGCTTGATTCAAGCTTATTGGAAGGGTTTCCAAACTAGAAAGAGATTAAAGAAGCTTCCATCTGCTGTGATTACTTTGCAGAGGAGTTTCAGGTAAAAAATTTTAGTGAGAGGAATGATGATCTAAGCAGGCTGCTAGATACGTCTTATTAGAGTACTGCTGAGAGAAAACTTAAGGTTTTTGTTTTTTGGGGTTTTTTTTCCAATTTTTTAATCAGTTTCTTTTACTCTTTTTTTTTTTTTTAACTTTATTTATTTTTTTCCCCCAAAGCCCCAGTAGATAGTGCTGTGTCATAGCTGCACATCCTTCTATTTGCTGTATGTGGGATGCGGCCTCAGCATGGCCAGAGAAGCGGTGCGTCGGTACGCGCCCGGGATCCGAACCCGGGCCGCCAGCAGCGGAGTGCGCACACTTAGCTGCTAAGCCACAGAGCCGGCCCCAGTTTCTTTTACTCTTGCTTTCATTCTTGTTCCATACGTTTCTGAGTACCAGCACTCTAGTAACCAGATGACTTTCAAAGCAGAGGATATAATGTAAGACAGGGATCTATTGTAACAAATACACAATCCTATTCACTTAATAAGACTTCCTTTGGGGCCAAGCCTACAGAGGGAGCCAGTGATAGTAATTATCTTATTAAACCCTTAAAACCAAAAATTGCCATAATTGTTCATATGTAATTATGATAAAAACATGCATAAGTATATAAAGGTTTAAGTATATTAACCTGATTTTCCTCAGTAAGTATGGCATGGATAGGTAATGGTCATTGAGATAGAACATAGTTTATCATTTATCTCTGTTTCAAGTGGACTAAAAATGAAATACTGAAGACATGACCCAGTTTTTGATATGACTGATTTTAGTTCACTAAAGTGAAACTTGCTTATTTCAGAAGTCAATTTTTTTTAAGAAAACTGAAACTATTTTAATAACTGCAGCTGCATTTCTCAGTTATAAAAATGTTTTAAAATAGTGAAATAAAATTTAGCTTTAAGTTGGGGTGCATGAGATATCACCTCTGAGATGGCTCCACTTTATCATAAATCACCTAAGAGCTAAGTTGTATGTGTGCATGTGTTCTTTCCATTGCCTCTAAGAATCTGGATTGGTTAGTGGTGGATATTGAAGCCCCTCTGGCTAACTGTGTCCCTTAGTGGACATCCTTTTCATTGATGAAAGTTTCCTTCAGAGAAGAAAAGATAGCTTATTAATATTATTGGGAATGAGTTTTGTTGGTAGCAAAAAAAAAACACATTAATTTTTTAAACAGGTTTTAAGTGCCTAATATATGCCAGAGGCTATGCTCAGTATTGGGATTGTTAAACAGACTTGAGTTTGTATACCATCTCAGCGATTTATGAGGTGAATGACCTTGGATAAGTTGCCCCACCTCTCTCAGCTTTAAATTTTCCATCTATATAAAATGGGGATAATTTTCTATGTACCACACAAGATTAAAGTCATATAAAGTTTTTTAGCATATTACCTGGCACTTAGAAAATGGAGGGGGCCGGGGAATGCACATGAATGCATATGGCACATTTTTTGCCCTTGAAGATTTATAAATCTAGTTAGATAAACAGATCTGTGAAATAAATAGTACTCGTGGGAGGCAAATATAATCCATTCCAGCATTGCTCAAAAGTTTTTCTATCGTACAAGCCATTTCTTAAAAAACATTAAGAAAGGATTCCTTTGGTCAAATAAATAAGGGAAATGGATACTTTGAGAGTCACAATGTACATTCTTCTGTTCAGGAATCTGAGATGTTCTTGAGATAGCCTTGCCTTCTGTTATGAACTCAGGTAGAGTAGTTATTACTTATGGATTCTACCTGCTATCATTCTCAGCTATCTGTCCTCTTACATTTAAAGGTACCACTATACCATAGATTCAGACCTTTAATGTTTAGTCTCAGAATAGTTGCCAAATTTGCCAGTTTACTTTCTCTTGCAATATGTAAAATCTTTATTTAAAAGTATCCCAGGATTACAGATTTTGTCCACTTAGAAGTATATCCGTGGAATCTAATTAATATTCCACTATTTTAAAATAGAAATTCCATTGCTTTATGTAACAAAACCAGATCTGTTAGAAATATTTCCATTACAAGAGATTAGCTGTGAAGCCAAAATGATTTAAATCTCACATTATAATGAGTTTGTTTCCTTTTCAGTATTTGGAGTCTGAAGTTTTAGGACAGACTAAAGTATAGCTTTAACCTTTAGGTCCTGTTTACTTTTGTAATTTCAAGTTTGCTCTAGGCTTCTATTAGTTGCAACAGTTTATGCAAATTTCTTTTGCTTCCTTTATAGCTAGGCTTTCTGCAAAGGTTATTTCTGTCTCTTTGTGGTCAGGTAATTATCTGAGAGTAATTTCCTCCTCCCATGTTTTTTTGGGGGGAAGGACTGCCCACCACTCACAATTATGGGCCCAGATTCATCAGTGCCCTTGAGATTCAACAAGAGCCACTCTTTTGTAGTCACACCCTTGCTAAAGCACTTTCGTGGGGGTTTCTTTTTTATTTAATTGTTTTTCATGGTCAGAAACTTTATTTTCTGTTAAGTACTCTTTTCCTCAGCAAGGTTTTCTGTAGCAGCTGTCAGCTGCTCCGATTACCTTTGGGAAACCTCACAATTTACCTGCCTCTACCATGGTGTTGATATTTAGGTGTCTTAATTATACGTGCTTGACTTTGTAGGAGAAGAAAACAGTTTTTTCCTCTACCCATCTTAGGTTCATTGGCTGGGGCCATGAAAATTAGACTGACAAAAAAATCGGATTAACAAGAGAAAAACGGTTTATTCACACATGCAATGCACATCACGCAGAAGAAACTTGACATGATGAGTAACTCAAAGAGGTAGTTAGAACTTGGGCTTATATTTATATAGATCTTAACAAAGAATAATAAATTTGTAGAGAGGTGACAGGTGACAAGAAAAGAGTTTTAGGCTTCCAAGGGTAGCAAGCTGTGGGAAAGTAAATGTATTGGGGAAACTATTGGAAGATATGGGTTATTTGTGCAGGTTCATCTTGGTGCCAACTTTCCATCTTCTTCATGACCATAAAACTTCCTTGGGAGGGGGGATTTATGGTACTCCTCATTTCTCAGACCTTTCTGCTTTTAGTCAGATAAGGGAAGCTCCTATGAAGGCTTCTTTCTGCATTTTTGACTCTCATTTGCCTCCAGCTCAAAATAATCTTTATGCCAAAGTGGCATGTTCTGCTACCCTTCAGCTTCCCCTTGAAACAGCTCCTTAAGGGCAGAACTGTGTCTCTTCTCTGTTTGCCTCAGGGACAGTACCAAGCAGGCAGCAATCACTCAGATAAATGTTGTTTGAGTTGATAAACAGAACCCATCAACAACTCATATGTTCATACTTATTATTCTACACAGAGGAATTCCTGGAGAATTCCTGATGTCTTGGCAGCAGATAGTTTGGTCATCTCCCTCTTCGATGTTAAAGATTCATGTTAATTAAATGTAAATCATGGAATGTACTTATATAAATTATTTTGAGAATATGATATCTGATTGATCATTTCCTTTTCAGAAGTACAATACAAATGCCAGATGGCCAAATGCCTACTCTTTCTTATAATGAAACCAGTTAAATGAATAATTTTAAATTTTGAGTGATTATGGAAACTTTTACCCACAAAATAACTAGAATGTTCCTAAGAAAGGGAGTAAACATTTAAAATCATATTAATTCCTAATGGTTTAAAACATGAAATTAAAGCATATGAATCCAGAAACATGCATAAATACAATTTATAGTCATTATTTCAGTTACTGAACCTCACTTCTCTATTGTCTTCCTGGTTTATATTTTATTTCCACCTGCACGCTCCATAGTCTTTTCCATTTCGCCACATTTTATGCCTAAACTGTTTCCCAAACCCAGTTCTCTGACAGATTAAAGGTCCTAGCAATGCAGTTTTAATGATTACTGTTTCTGATACTAATAGTATATTAAAAATATTGATAATTAAGAATCAAGATGAACAGACAACCCACCAGCTGGGAGAAAATATTTGCAAAACATATATCTGACAAGGGGTTAATCTCCATAATATATAAAGAACCCACACAACTGAACAACAAAAAAACAAACAACCTGATCAAAAAATGGGCAACGGAAATGAACAGACACTTCTCCAAAGAAGACATACAGATGGCCAATAGGCACATGAAAAGATGTTCAACATCATTAATCTTCAGGGAAATGCAAATCAAAACAACACTAAGATATCACCTCACACCTGTTAGAATGGCTATAATCACCAAGACAAAAAACAACAAATGTTGGAGAGGATGTGGAGAAACAGGAACCCTCATACACAGCTGGTGGGAATGCAAACTGGTGCAGCCTCTATGGAAAACAGTATGGAGATTCCTCAATGAATTAAAAATAGAAATACCCTATGATCCAACCATCCCACTACTGGGAATCTATCCAACGAACCTGAAATCAACAATCCAAAGAGGCTTATGCACTCATATGTTCACTGCAGCATTATTCCCTATAGCCAAGAAGTGGAAGCAACCTAAGTGTCCCTCAACTGATGATTGGATGAGGAAGATGTGGTATATATATACAATGGAATACTACTCAGCCATAAAAAAAGACAGAGTCGTCCCATTTGCAACAACATGGATGGGCCTGGAGGGTATTATGGTTTTTTGTTTTGTTTTGTTTTTTGTGAGGAAGATCGGCCCTGAGCTAACATCTGCCAATCCTCCTCTTTTTTTGCTGAGGAAGACTGGCCCTGCGCTAACATCCATGCCCATCCTCCTCCACCTTATGTGGGATGCCACCACAGCATGGCTTGACAAGTGGCGCATCGGTGCGTGCCCGGGATCCGAACTGGCGAACCCCGGGCCGCCTCAGCGGAGTGCGCGCACTTAACCTCTTGTGCCACCGGGCTGGCCCTCGAGAGTATTATGTTAAGCGAAATAAGCCAGAAAGAGAAAAACAAACACTGTATGATCTCACTCATATGTGGAATATAAACCAACCCATGGACAGAGAAAACTGTATTGTGGTTACCAGGGGCAGTGGGGGTAGGGGGTGGGCACAAGGGCTGAAGGGAGACATATATATGGTGATGGACAAACAAAAGTGTACAACCCCAAATTTCACAATGTTATAAACTATTAAACATCAATAAAAAAAGCAAAAAAAAAATTGGTAATTAGACATTAATCTATGGTAAAATAGAAGTTAGAAACAGAGGTGTGTTTTGTTTTGTTAGTCACTTTGAAAGGAGATTCTGTTTGGGGCACATTCTCTTTTACCCTCCATTAAGTAGGTAAAGGACAAAACGTTCTTATAGACATGCTATACAACCCAGAACTTTTGGAGGGGGAGTTCTGTAGGTGAGGCAAGTTGCCATCAGCCATTCTTTGGGAAGAGGAAGGCCCTTACTTGATCTCCAACTCTCAGGAGGAACAAGAGATACTTAGAAACTAGTCAACTCACCCTACATCCTCTCTAGAACCCCTTCTCCTTTTGGCGTATACAAATAACTTGAGGGTCTTCTTGACCTTTGATAATAGGGTTAAGAAAGATGTTTTGAAACAATTAAACCCTCAACTCTGGCCTAAATGGAAAGCCAAAGAAAACTTAAATTGTAATTGGTAGCAGTTAGGAAATTGTAAGAAAACAAGCAAAAACTATGCAGACACCCCCACACGAAATTTTATCAAAATAATTTTGTGAGTTTTCCTTCTCTGCTTTGAAATATTTCCTTTTAAAGTTGTAGTATGCTTAATTGTTTTTGCTTTTTCAAAAGAAATTGAGTTAAAAATCATTAGAATCCTCTCTAACTACACCATTATGATGCCTGCCTGTTAGGACTACAAAGCTGTAGCTAAGGTACCACACTTGTTGACAGTTTAATTCTAAGAAAAGAATCTAAGAGAAAGGAAATGGTCTTGAGTGAGACACATGCAAAGTAGGTCCATAGAGATAAAATAAATAATGCATTCTGCTTTTTTTTTCTTATCCTCTTTAGTTTCTTTTTCTATGTGTATCTGAAGGCATTTTGAGTATATTTACTATAGACTAATACTTATGATCTCCTTATATAGTGATGTAGGAAGCAAAAATGGGTAGAAATGGCTAAGGAAAAATTTCAGTGAATAAAAGCAGATAATACAGAAATGCTAATTAAAGTTTTTGTGGCCACATGAAAATTTTTATAATCAGTTATAAAAATATTAGTCAATAGTTGAAAAATAAACATAGGAATAAAATTGAAATCATCCATAATCACACCAAGCAGTGAAAATCCCTGTTGAAATTTTAATGTTTGTTTGAAATTTTTATTTTTTCATAGTTCATAGCATCTCATCCAGTGAATGAACCAGTAATTTATCCTTTTTTTGGGGGGGGGGGGGAGATCAGCCCTGCGCTAACATCTGCCAATCCTCCTCTTTTTGCTGAGGAAGACTGGCCCTGGGCTAACATCCATGCCCATCTTCCTCCACTTTGTGTGGACGCTGCCACATCATGGCCCGACAAGTGGTGTGTCGGTCAGCGCCCGGGATCCAAACCGGCGAACCCCAGGCCGCCACAGCGGAGCGCGCACACCTAACCGCTTGCGCCACCAGGCCAGCCCCAGTATTTATCCATTTCACTATTGTGGAACATACAGTTTGTTTTCAGCTTGTTGCTGTTGTAGTGCTATAGAGAATATAAAGTTTTACATACATATCAGATTTTTTTAAGAAAATTATGAGAAATGGAATTAATTAGTTGACATTTTTAAGGCTTTTGATTTGTATGTTAAATATTTCTCAGACTTTTGATGCATATATCCAAATATTTCTCCAGAAAGGTGGTACAGCAGCAGCACGTGAAAACTTATTTCATCATACTCTAACAACACTAGGAATTATCTTAAAAAAATTTTTTTCTGTCTGTATTTATATGATTACTAGTGAAGTTAGGCACTTTTTCATATACTTCTTGGGTAGACATGATTTATGGAAATTGTGTGTAAGTTATTTGTTTCCATCACAGATCTAAACGAACAAAAATATTACTGAAGCTAAATAGGCAGAAGGAAGAAGAAGACCGCAGATTACGATTGCAACTTCAAAGACAGAGAGCCATGAGACTTTCCAGAGAATTACGGCTGAGTATGCTTGAAATAGTTCATCCAGGTGGGTGGCATTATCAGTTTTATAAATGTAATAAGAATGGTTAGGGTATCATCTAATAAGCCAAATTTTCTAGCTACCTGACGATTTCCTTTATTTAATTTGGACCATCCTTTTTCAGATAAACCTTATTAAATCTCTTGAGTCGAAAAAAAATTACTATTTTTTCTGATTAAGGTCTGTTAATTGATGATGAGCAATCTCTATACTGGTTTTTCTTTTCTTTCAGATAAATTAGTGAACATAAAAATTTATGCTAAAAGATAACTGTCAGTGACATAAAGAAAGAACCCCCTTGAATTTAAGTAAGGACTTAGAATATTGCTACATTCTGCCATCAGAACTTTACTTATACTCCAGCACAGACCTTGTGACACATTCTTGCCACCTTTGACACACTAAATTGAAATTAAAGTGTAATCTGGGAAAATCTGGGTAGTTTCAAGATTCTTTTTGTATTCTTCCCTTCCTCTGCTACTACTCATTCCCAGTGTCCTTCACTAGCCTCTTATTTCTCTTTCCCTTAAATATAGATGCTCCCCATGGTTCCATCCTCACCCCATTATTCTCATGTTGCTTTTCCTAGGGTATCCCATCCATAACTGTAGCTTTAACTACCGACTAAGTGCTTACCACTCTGAGATCTTGTCTGCATCCTCATCCTCTCTTCTAAGCTCTAGACCAGCACTGCCTGATAGAACTTTCTACAAAATGAAATGTTCTATATCTGCACTCTCCAATACCGTAGCCATTGGCTAGAGGTGGCTGTTGAGTACTTGAAATGTGGCTAGTGCACTTGAGGACCTAAATTTTTAATTTTACTTTATTTAAATTTGAGTAGCCATTTGTGGCTAGTGTCTACTACATTGCACAACTTAGCTTTGTAGCCAGCTGCCTATTGGGTAGCTTTACTTAGATATCCACAGGCATCCCAGAAACTAGTCATTATCTCCCCTCACTAATTTCCTATCTCTGTCTTCCCCATCTCAGATCATTGTACTAACAATCTACTCAGTTTCCCATCTGTGAGACATCCTAAAGTTCTTTCCCTCTCTCACCTCCATATCCAGTCGGTCATTAAATCCTGTCAATTTTTTGTACTCTCTCAAATACATCCTTTTTTATTGTTACCTTCTACTTCCTTTTCTATCACTTAGCTACTGTGAACCCTGGGCTATATGCTGACCAATACCTAGAAAGTAAAAAGAAAGTAATCTGTAGAACCAAGTGAGTGACTGAAGAGAAATTTAGAAGCACGCAGAGTAGATAACACATACACACGTTTTGCCCTTTCCTTCTGGTGGTACTGAATGACTTCCTAAACATGTTCTTGTGATTCTTTTTTCTAAATGTTCTTGCTATTAGAGTTTCAGCCCTTTTTCATTCCTCTGACACAAGAAATTATATGAGTTTTTACTCTAAAGAAACTCCATAATCAGAACGCTTTGGAGCTCTTTGTTGCTAAAATCTTAGAGCCATTGTAAAATAATAGAATTGGGATAATCAGTGAACAATACTGAAAAAAATAAAAATTCTGCGAGATTATTGTTACTATCATTGTCCTGATTCCAGAACTTGAGAAAGCATAGAAGTGAGTATGTTGTAATAGTGTCTGTCATCTTTTTAGGCCAAGTGGAAAAACATAATCGGGAAATAGAAGATAAATCAGCATTGATTATCCAGAAACATTGGAGAGGGTACAGGGAAAGGAAAAATTTTCGCCAACAGAGGCCATCTCTCACGGAGTATAAAGCAGCTGTCACACTTCAAAGAGCAGTGAGTCTAACGTAATAAAAAGAATACTAGATTAGGAGGTAAAAACATGGGTTCAAACCTAACTTTGCTATTTACCTGCTGTAAAGTCTTGGTCAAGTCACTTAGCTTTTTTGAGCTTTAGTTTCTTCCTCTATAAAATAAGAACCTCCTTACCCCTGGCCAAACTGATTTAGATACTCAGTCCTTAGTACTTCCATAGACCCTTGTACATTTACCATACTGCAATGTGGTTATTTGTTAATTTTTTTTCTTTCTTACTTGGGCTGTGAGCATCTCAAGGATAAGGAACTAAGTCTTATTTATTGTTGTCAGCTCTCTGCATGTGTTTGATATGTGAATGGATGTCTACCCTACCTTTTTCACTCAGTTGTTATGTGGATCAGATGATCTGATTTATGGGAAAGTATTTTGTAAATTACAAAGTCCCATGCAAGTGCAACATATCATATTTGATGTTTTTTAATGCACAGAAAATGTATTAGATATAATTAGATCATTATAATTCTTGAATTATAGAATAGTATTCTTAAATAATAATTTTCCTGGGACTTATCTGGAGCATAGTAATATTTTACTGCCTTGAAAGAGCACAGCACAAGGCTATTTATTTCATTTAATGGCCAGTTTCCTAATAGCCAGTTATTCACTTATACGTGGTTAACTTTCATATTAGGACTTCAGGTCATATAGCATTTAATTTTACAATTTCTTATTGTTGAACTTCAGGTCAGTTTCACTTTTTCACAGTAATAGATTTTGAACAGTCTTGAATTTTCTGTGAATAACCTTTTACCAAGATTTTTTAAAACCATTTAAAAAACAGAGTAAAGTACTAGGGAAATAGAAAGAGATGTCTGCCACTTCCTTCTTCCTCAGGCTTTTCTAGGGATCTCAGGCTATATCTGCAACAAACAGTCCTGCACCATCACTGAATCACACCCACACCTGCTGTTTACCCTCTGCTAAACAAGGCCATCTAAGCATTACCCCGTGGATATCAGTGTTGGAGACACTTCCTTTAGAGGAATCCTTGGTTCTATTCTAATATTTTTACCTCATGGCTACCTCCTTTTTAAACTCTTTCCTGTCAAAGAATCAACTGAGTCCTTATTAAGTTGACTTACTACCTTGCCTGATTTAGATAAGCCTGGTACTTTGTAAAAGGGTCCTCTATTCTTAAGTGAGATACCTCAGTTTGTCCACCATTCCCCAGAGAGAGAAGCAGGGGTCATCAAAGGAAGATATCTGAGGGCTGTGAAGACATAGTTGTTTGGATTTTCATGCTTTCCTTTGGCATAAGAGGAAAAGAAGTCACGTCTGCCTCATATCTTCCCCACCCAAAAAAAGGAGTATCGGTCTCCATTGAAGTAAGAACAAAAAGGGATGTGTCAAGGTCTTGTTTATAGTCTTTGCAGCTCACTAGTAAAAATAACAGTGAAATCAAAGCAAAACTAGACTTCAGAAATAGAAATATAGAAAATAGAAAAAGAAAGAAGAGGATTATTTTCAGAGGGAAAAGAGAAAGAAAAATGATAAAGTACAGAGAGAAGAAAAAGGAATGTAATAGAGAAAATTAGAACAGGGCAATGGTCAGTAAAGGACACATTTTACCATATTTTTGAATCATCTATTTCTAAGATATATTCTAGGCTTACCCTATCCAATACAGTAGCCACTAACCACATGTGGCTATTGAGTACTTCACATGTAGCTAGTCCAAATTGAGATGTGTTGTAAATGTAAAATACCTATCAGATTTTGAAGACTTAGCATGGAAAAAAAGAGTGTAAACTATCTCATTAATAATTTTTTATATTGATTACATGTTGAAATGCTAATATTTTACATATGTTGAGTTATAATATGTTTACATAAATCAGTATTTGCAAAATATTAATTTCACCTATTTCTTTTTACTTTTTTAATGTGCCTACTTGAAAATTTAAAATTACATATGTGACTTGCATCATATTTCTATTAGCACTGCAATTGACCTTGGTAAGAAAGAAAAGGAAATAATAATTCATCAGTTTAACAGAAAGGAATAGGAATATCATTTCAATGAACTTGTCTCTCAGGAGGAACTGGTTATTAATGTCCTTGGTAGAGGAAGAACTGTTGTTTACCTTCTGTCTCTCCCTTACTTTGTGTAAAAGCAGAGGCACTGTTTCTCAGGTAGCTAAAAATAGAGAAAATCTTATGTAAACTTGCTAATTTCAAAGTACACATCCTTACTTGCATAGACAAGTTGGAGTTCTCTGTAGTTGATTTAGTGTTGAAATTAAATTTGAAGTAAAAGTTAGCTGCCTTTTCCCTTTTAATGCTCCAGGATTTTCTTCTCTTGCTTTCTCATCTCTTAGGAAGCTCAGAAGGAATGTGATGGTTGCTGGTGTCTGGTCTCTAGAGCCAGAAGGATAGCTAATTCTTGCTACTTGATTATAGCAGAAAATTACTACAGCACTATTATACATATCCATCACAGACCAACCACAAAAGCACTTAGTGAAACAAACCATTGGCAGTTGAGAAAATAAATAAAAACTGGGAGATAAATGCAATTTCAGAGAGTCCTGAAATGACAAAGAATGAGGAAAAGACAGAGAGAAAAGTCAAGGTGGGCTTTTCTGATATAGGAGCAGAGATTCCTTTGTTCTGGAACCTTTACTCTGAAGTTCCCAGCATAGCATCATAAGTGGTAGGGTGATACTAAAAACAGGAGGTAGAGAAGAGAGAGAAGGAGAAGCAAGGAAGAAAAATCAAGTAAAGAGAATAGAAGGAAAGGTCTCTCAACAGGAGGATGCAAGCATACTTGAAAGCTCGAGTACCATACTAAAAATGGGAATATTAGGGAAATTTTATATACTGAATGTGAAGACCTCCAGCCCTTTTTTTCTTCTCAGCTCCCGGAGTACAGTGAGGCTTATATCCTGCAAACAGTAAATTGAAAGCATTTTCTTTGGGAAATCTAAACAGCCCAAGAGAAAAGTCATAAGTATACTCACAATGGGGTACCCCAACAAAACAGCCCAGTTCAGCACCCTAGGTTGAAGTACACAATAGATAAACCCTACACACCTGCTCAGAATTTTTAAACAGCTTTTTACTGCCTACTCTTAAATATCGGCTGAAAGTATCACTGTACATCTGAGGAAAGGTAAGACCAAAACAAACAGAATAAACTACTTGGTAGAAATAAAGATATTGCAGGAATAAGAAAACTTTTAAAAGTCTGTTAATTCCTCACAGACTTAAGAGAAAATAATACATGAAACAAAACTAAGATGCTACATAGGAGGTAACAAATAGAATGAAATTTAACAGGAAACATAAAAGACATAATAAAAGGGCTGGGAAAGAAGGTTTGGGAAATCTCCTAGGAAAGAAAAGATAACCAGTCCAGGAGTCAAACATCCAAACATTTGAAACAAAGAATACAAAAAAAACCTGAGGAGAGGAAATCAAATAATTCAAGATTTCCCAGAACTGAATGTCAGGCGTTTTAGATTAAAAGGACTGACTAAATGTCCAATACAATGACAGAAGCACACTCACATTTATTTCACATTACTGTGAAATGCTCTGGGGACAAAAATACTTCTCAGTAGCATCACTGGAAGCTAAAAGGTACTGGAGTAAGGCTGTCACGTGTTTGAGGGAAAATGATTTCCAGCTAGAATTCTATACCCAACCAAACCATCAGTTAAAAGTAAAGATAAACTAAAGACATTTTTTTTTTCTTGTGAGGAGATCAGCCCTGTGCTAACATCCGCCAATCCTCCTCTTTTTTTTTTTTTTTTTTTTT